TAGGAGCAGTAGTCTTCGCATTGAAGATTTGGAGACATTATCTCTACGGAACCAAGTGCACAATCTTCACTGATCACAAGAGTCTGCAGCACATCTTTAATCAAAAAGACTTAAACATGAGGCAACGGCGATGGGTAGAATTACTCAGTGACTATGAGTGTGAAATCCGTTACCACCCCGGCAAGGCCAATGTGGTAGCAGATCCCTTAGCCGAAAGGATAGTACAAGCCACAAAGTGAAGAACCAGACGATGACCATCCATTCCAACTTACCTACGCAAATCCGAGAAGCTCAGTATGCAGCCCTCAAACCTGAAAACGTGTCAGATGAAACCTTGAGAGGAATGGAAAAGAAACTTGAGATCAGAGGTGACGGAGTTCACTGTTTCATGAATCGAATCTGGATTCCCAAATCCGGTGGATTCAGGGAAATAGTCATGGAGGAAGCACATAGAACCAAATACTCTGTTCACCCAGGTTCGGACAAGATGTATCTGGATCTCAAGAAACAATACTGGTGGCCAAACATGAAAGCTGAGATAGCTACATTCGTGGGCAAGTGTCTGACTTGCGCCAAAGTCAAAGTCGAACATCAGAAACCTTCAGGTCTGCTCCAACAACCCGAGATTCCCGAGTGGAAATGGGAGATGATTACCATGGACTTCATCACCAAACTACCCAAGTGTTCTAGTGGGTACGATACCATTGGGTAATTGTCGATCGTTTGACAAAATCCGCTCACTTCATCCCAATCAAAGAATCATACAAGATGGAGAGACTCGCGCGAATCTACATCCAGGAGGTAGTACATCTTCACGGTGTACCTGTTCCATTATCTCTGATCGAGATAGTAGGTTTACCTCCAGATTCTGGCAATCTCTTCAGAAAGCCCTTGGAACCAAACTAGATATGAGCACGGCGTATCATCCTCAGACCGATGGACAGAGTGAGAGAACAATCCAAACCCTGGAGGACATGCTTCGGGCATGTGTCATTGACTTTGGAAAGTCGTGGGATACACACCTATCCTTGATCGAGTTCTCATACAACAACAGTTACCACACCAGCATTAGGGCTGCTCCGTTCGAAGCCCTATACGGTCGTAAGTGCAGATCTCCTCTGTGCTGGGCCGAGGTGGGGGATACACAGTTAGCCAGGAATCGAGTCCCCGACAGTGCTCTCACTGGTCCTGAAATCATCCGCGAAACCACCGAAAAGATCATTCAAATCCGTAACCGACTGAAAGCCTCACGTGATCGTCAAAAGAGTTACGCTGATAATCGTCGGAAACCACTAGAATTCCAGGTTGGAGATCGTGTCCTGTTGAAAGTCTCGCCCTGGAAAGGCACTGTACGCTTTGGCAAGCGTGGGAAACTTAATCCGAGGTACATTGGACCCTTTGAGATCCTCTCCAGGATTGGTCCAGTTGCTTATAAACTTCATTTACCTCACGAACTCAGTAACATTCATCCTGTCTTTCATGTTTCAAATCTTAAAAAGTGCCTATCCGATGAAACTCTAACAATTCCCTTAGACGAGATCGAGATCAATGAAAACCTCAACTTTGTGGAGGAACCGATCGAAATCATGGATCGAGAAGTCAAACGTACAAAACAAAGTCGCATCCCGTTAGTGAAGGTTCGCTGGAATGCCAAGCGGGGACCGGAATTCACTTGGGAACGGGAAGACTCAATGAAACAGAAGTATCCACAACTCTTTTCTTATCCATGATTTGTATCTTGTCTTATGTTCTAAACTTGAATTTCGGGACGAAATTCCCTTTAACGGGGGGATAATGTAACAACCCGAAATTTCCGCTTCTTTTTAAAAGTAACTTTTTCATAAATCAACTCGCGCAACCGATCGTCGTTCCGATTTCCGATTTCTCCGTTTAATTAAGTCATTAATTAGTACACATTTAAAATGACTTAATGGGTGTCTTAATACATTTAGAAATCAATTTAACACCCAACTTTAGTGATCGGAATAATTCTAGAATTTACCGTATCGGGTTACGGTAACTTAATCGGGTACGACCAAAAACCCCGTCTAACGCCGGTATCGGGTAAATTCCACCGTGTCCAAAACTTAAACACTATATAAACGTGTTTAAGACTTCATTTGAAGCCTTTTGGCAAGTTTCTCACTAAACTCTTACAACCTCTCTCCTCAAGCTAGAATTAAGGTCCAAATCACAAGTTTAAGGCTTCAAATCTTTAAGGTAACCTCCCTAACATGTTATTCAACACCTTTAGCCTTCAAATTGATGAAATAATTGAGTTTTAGGTCCAAGAACATGAGTTTACGGCCAAGGAACAAGCTTGGGCCGTAAACTCCATTTAATGGGGTTTTAAGCCCTTAAACTCCTTCCTAAACTCAATTGGACTTTAGATATGGCTATGGGACTTCAAGATATGGACTTAGAACATTTAAAACTATGATTTTGAGCCATTTAAAGGAGTTTACGGCCAAGGCATAAGCTTAGGCTGTAAACTCAAGTAAAAGGGGTTTTTTCATGCCCTAAAACCCTTCCAAATCACTACTTTGGCTTAGATATGAATTGTAGGACCTTGGTTTTAGCATTTGGACACTTGAAACAAAAATTTTGTGGGACTTATGTGAGTTTACGGCCAAGGATAGTGCTTGGGCCGTAAACTCCCCAAAATGTGACATAAATCCAATTCTAAGGTGTTAGAAAGCCATCCAACACCACCAAAAGCCTTGGAATAAATCAAGGGACCAACCAAAAATGCTTTAAGGGTCTAAAACACATCATTTGTGGGACTTATAAGGGTTTACGGCCAAGGCTTGTTCTTGGGCCGTAAACTCCAAAACTTTTGGTGTTAGAATGCAAACTAAACACCCCTAAAGCCTTTAGATGAATTTTAGAAGCCCTTCTATGCAAGTTTTAGACCTTGAAACACTTTGTATGACCCTACATTAGAGTTTACGGCCATGAGGAGGGTCTCATGGGCCGTAAACTCCATAACACCCCTCAAATGTCACATAAAAATCATACTAGGTCTTGGAATAATCTTATGAATCACATGTGATTTGTTTTAACAACATTTGACACCCATTTCATGAAGATTAAGGAGTTTAAGGCCAGGAGCCTATAGTGGGCCGTAAACTCCCATAAAATAAGCATTTTGATGATTTAAATTCAGTCCAAGTGTTCCAAGACAATTTAGAAAATCCATTCTAGCAACCTCTAGGTCTATTTGAGCCCTTAAACCCTCAAAACCACACCAACATGAGTTTACGGCCGTAAACTCATGTGTGAGTGTGTTTCATGGTTGTAAACTCATTTAAATGTTTACTTATGGAGAGTAAACTCATGTCCCAAGTCCCTAGTGCCATTACAAGTCCGAAGATGTCACCCGGGTCACTCCGAACGCTCGTTTTGAGGTGTTTAACCTCATTGGAGTGTAATGTTCCATATGATTAGTGAATGTATCTTTAATTGTATATGTGTATAGACATTATATCATTTTACATAGGGTCATCGCGAGTAATCAAACCCCGAACCGACGTCTAGCATTCAAAACCGACACGTTTCCGAGTCCGGTGAGTTCATACCCCTACCCTTTTTCACTGTTTTCACTGTTTTCAGGGGGGAACACAAGCAAAGTACAAGGGAATTCTTGTACTCATAACATGTTTTCAAATGTGTGTTTCATATTTTATGCTTTTATAACTGATAACTACAACTGATAACAGATCGAACATACAGATCACGTAACATATTTTGTGAAATAAGTCTTTAAACTAGTATGTTTTACATGTATTTCACAAATGGTTTTCCACATTTTATCAGTTAAAAGCATGACATTAAAACATTTGAATATAATACCTGTACACTGTTTTGTCCTCGGTAACACTCCACGCACATACGCGAGTGGAGGACTTTCATATTATTACTAGTAAATTTGTTATTCCGGTATGATTGGAGACACGTCCTCGGAGAACACTCCACCTGGATTACGCGAGTGGAGGACTACACCCATAACCAGAATCTCTGGTATTTAGAGAGCGTGACTTGAGTGTATAGATCTATACGGGGCTGACTACCCCACACCTGGCTGCTAGCTACAGCCGAACCGAAATGGTTCAAAGGTGACGAAAGTCATAAGTATGTGGACGACTTATTGCCACATGTGGACTACTTATTGCCACAGGTTTCAGTCTATTGTATGGTTATGGAACTCGCAATTAGGATAACAGAGATTTACTTACAGTAATAATGGATTACTTTATACATCGTTTACATTGTTTACATCTTTTACATCTTTTACTTACTGTAACTAACATTCAGGAAGGTACGGGACCTTCCTGGGGAAAACATGGAATCTAATCACGATTACATCTTTTACATCTTTCACATCGTTTACATAAGATACATACATGCAGGAAAGCATGGGGCTTTCCTGGGTAATACTTACATAACTAGAAAGAGTCACGGAATGGATAACATTACATCTTTTACAATTTGTAACATACAATAAGGAAAGTATGGGACTCTCTTGGTAACACATGATAAGTAAACAGAACAGTTTAACCAGTCAGATAACCAACTATACATTTTCACATGAGTAAACATGTTTTCAGTGTACAAACTTACTATACTTTACATTTGTGAAACAATAACCAACTTTTAAGAAAATACGGGATTTTCTTGGTGTACATAACATTTCAGAAACAGAAAGGAAACCGATACATTTTCGTAAAACAAAACCGCTTATGAACTCACCAGCTTTATGCTGATTTTCAAACCGCTTGTGTTCTCAGGTCAGCGTTAGAACAGGTACCTGAAGATCCTTTTGCATGAAGACGGTGTACATGAAGACCCGTTACATTTTGCCTATATATACTATGTATCACAACTGTACAACTTTACTTTTGAAACAATTGTAAAACTGTTATTATGTAATGTAATGCTTGTTTTACTTTGCTTACTATGTACATTGGATTTGATACTCAACACGGTAGTCAACCCCGGAAATGTTTTCCGCCTTCGGTTTTCGGGGTGTGACAACTTCCAATAACGATTTTACGGACGAGGATGATGAGGATGATGGGTTGGTGGTGGTGGATAGAGATCGGCGTAGCTATGGGTCTAATACTTCGAGTTCTAATGGCTTAATCGAACTTGGTTCGCACCAAGAATTGAGGTTGGTGAGGCGGATTGGGGAAGGGCCACAGAGGAAGCGGAGTAGAGTTGAAATGTGGTCGACAGTTTTGTCTGGGAGTCATAGAAACTTGGTGAATCTGACAATCAAGAACCCTGTATTCTCATTGTATCTTGCTTATGATAATCAGAGTCACATATGTTTCACGTGGTTTCTTTTGCTTAAGAGTGATTATTGCTGCTATTTTTGCAGTCGTGGAAACTATGGTTAATGAAGGATCTTATTTTGATGAGGCTCAATTTGATTCAAAGATGAAAGAGCTGTAAGTGTCCCTCCTATAATCCAATTGCTGATTGAAAGTGAGAAATTAGCAAGGTTAATCTTTCGCATGTGGACAAGGTAAAACTTTCTTGTTTAATTCACAAATTCTACATGTTGACAAGGTAACACTTTCATAATCTTGATTTGGATCAAATAGTCTCTGAACACTACCAGGCGTCTTGCACACTAGCATCATCAACCTTGAAGTTTCCACCTGTCATCTGATAATTGTAGCTCCATTAATAGTATAAACTTGTATAAGATAATTATCTCCTTAAGGTTTATAAAGTAGGCCCTTTTTTTTAAGGTTTTGAACACTTTATATTAACAATTTTGATTATATTTTCAGTTATGAGGAAATCCAAATGATGCACATACCTCCTCCCCATGTTAGCTGTGTGGTGGGGTACTCAAACTGATGAAGTTTTCCCTAAAGCATGGCATGGATTGACGGCTACTATTAGAGAATGAAATGAAGCTTAGGTAGTAGTTAATTCCTTTAAATTATACTCTCCTAAAATCTAACCTGGCTCACTCACTATTTCATATCTATAATACTTTCTATATATTTTTTTGTTTTTATAAAAATATTAGAGACCCTAACTGAGGAGATTGCTATCAGTTAAGAAGGGGGGGGGGGGGACATAAGAAAAAAAGAATTAACTTAAAGGCACAAGAAAAAAAACTTAAATTCAATTCAATAGAAAGCCAATAACGGTCTCACTCAAAAATAAAAAAGAGCAGGTAAGCAGGCAGACATCAAGCTTCTCCACCAGCCTTACCAGCAACAGTTGCCTTCTGTGTCCCTGAGTACCTATACAAGAATGACAACCTTACATCTTGAATGACAACCTTACCCTTGATGCACCCTTTAATTTCTCTGTTGTGGAAGGGCAGTATCGTAATTATGTTTATGGGCATGAATATTTCATATTTTTTCTTTTTCTTATTTCTATCCCAGAGCATCTGGTGAGGTGTAAAAGATGCTTTGTAAATTGGGTAGACACCCTACCTTTCTTATTGTCAGATTTTATGTAAGGAAGAAGGTGAAAAGTGCCCAATCACCATGCAAGTGATGAGAAATCGAGCATTTAGAAAGAAGTTTGGTATTCGATCAAATAGTTGTTCATAGAAAATATCAATAATGAAACCACTCAACAACCCAAAAAAACACATAACATATATTTACTTTACTTATTCGGTTTACAATATAGATTTCCATCCACGTCACTTGAGTGGTCAATACCTGATATGTACAAAGATTGTTTCACAACTATCACTGATGCACAAACTATCAATGCAATTATTGTATACTTTGGATATGCAAGAGCTGATCGAAAGGTAACTTTGCATTATAAATTCAAGTGTAAATTTAAAGGGTACATATAAATTTTACATGTGTGTGTGTGTGTGTGTATATATATATATATATACATATATATATATATATATATATATATATATATATATATATATATATATGTTTTGTTTTTATGAAATTGATGAATCAGACTCAAGGACGTGAATCCATTGCAACTAAGCTTGTTGCAAATCTGATAACAGAAGCAGGAGCAGACCGAGTTCTTGCTTGTGATCTTCACTCTGGGCAATCAATGGTATTAATATATTTCTTTTAATAGGAGAGAAGTGTGAGGATTGACAAGTTATCATATACTATATACCTATGTTATTTGCTATATGCACCTCTTTATATTGTTGTACCTATTATAAGTTTCAATGCATTTGCATCCCAGGTTCTCTTACTTCCTACTACTCTTCAACTTCACATTTTACATTCTGATTCATGTTTCCATTCCATTCCATGGTTTCTAAATGGATGGAATTGACAGATTCTATCTGTTGCTTTGGGAAATGAACTGACAAGAATCTGATTCCTTTTGTGGTAGTTGTATAGACCTCAGAAGAGTTATACACTAAAACAAGTGGCTTGGTATGGTTTTCGTTGGTTCCTTAGCCTCTTACTTATGTAGATCATGACACACTTTTTTCTATTACAATGCCTTTGTGATTAGGTGAGTGATAAATAACAACATATATCTCATATTCATATTGTATTATCATTTAACTTCCTATCTTTTAATATTATGTAGTGGAATCTGGAAACAGTTATAACCTATGGAAGTCTTCATTATTGGATATGGGGTGAGAATTAATTTCACAACCTCACTTATTAATACACACATTCACTGTTTTATGTTGCCTGCATCATTTACCATATACAGGTCCTAAACTTCATGTGGCTCAAATTTTTCCTCATATGGCGTTACTTCCGATTTTGGGCTCTGGTAAGTAAATGTATATCCCCATTTTTATTTTTTTAATAAAATATAGTAAGGTAATTACATTACACACGAATTATTACCTTAGTGTTTGGTTATATGGGAAGGTAAGTGGGATTCAAGCCCCTGAAAATACGTCACTGTGGATAAACAACTGCTATAACTTGGAAAGCTTTTGGAAAAATTGGCATGATTCCTTTAACAAATGGCTTGTCAGGTAAAGCTTATTATGTATTTTATTTCAGTTATTATCTAACCTTGAAGAGCTACCAATATATATATATATATATATATATATATATATATATATATATATATATATATATATATATATATATATATATAGGTTCAGGTTCATTTGAGATCATTCTAATTTTGTGAGACCGTGAGACCAAATCTAAAAATAATTTTAAAATGCAAAATAAATGGAAAAATCCAAAAATTCTTTTTTTAAATATTATTTTCGGAACTTGAATTAACTAAAAAAAATATAAAAAAAATAAAAAAAATTCCGGTTTTTTTATTTTTTTGAAAAATACGTAAAATATTCTAAATAGAATATTACACTGACATATTCTAAAAAATAATTGTAAAATGCAAAATAAATGGAAAAATCTAAAAATTCGTTTTTAAAATATTATTTCCGGAACTTGAATTAACTAAAAAAAATAAAAATAAAATAAAATAAAATTCTATTTTTTTTGAAATATACGTGAAATATTCTAAATAGAATATTATACTGTACATATTCTAAAAATAATTTTAAAATGCAAAATAAATGGAAAAATCAAAAAATTCCTTTTTTAAATATTATTTTCGGAACATGAATTACCTAAAAAAAATAAATAAAAAATAAAAAAATGCGTCTCACGGTCTCACAAAATATAGGTGGTCTCAAATGAACCTAACCCTATATATATATATATATATATATATATATATATATATATATATATATATATATATATATATATATATATATATATATGTCTTGTCTTGTCTTTTAAAATCAAGAATGACATTGACTACAACAAACTTAATTTATTATATGAAATGATTTTTACTTATAGGTACATGTACATCCCTCTTGGGGGATCTGGAAGGAAGCTTTTAAATGTGTAGGTTGTCTTCACATTTGTTTCCATATGGCATGATCTCGAATGGTATTTAATTTTGGTGGAATTTCACTTTTAATTTTGGTGGAAATTATCCGCATCTAGGTGAGTTTATGCTATGCACATAAAACTTCTCTTATGGGCATGGTTAACATGCATATTTTTTATTCCTGAAATGATTTTGAAATCAACAGCAGCTTGTTTTTAGGTGATGTAATAAGTTTTAATAGAGCAAATTTCAGTGATCTAATATACTTTGTAAAGCATTTAATTTAAGGAGTTTGCATCAATATTTTCACCATGTAATCTCTTATAATTCGAGATTCCATTCCATGGCGTGTGTGTTTGCTTGCCAAATGATGGACAAAATTCAGTTCTGTCTGATTCCTTCAACTTCTATGTTTGTTGGTTGGATGGATATCACAATTCCTAGAAGGAATTTGTTTTTTTATGTTCAAACACCAAAACACCCTCATTATACATATATATAACAAAAATAAATAGTTTGAGATTGGAATTCTCTGAAATTTGAGTCATGGTTTTATAGGCTGATAACGTATTTAAGCAGTTTATTTTGCATGAGCTTAGTGCATGCAGTTGTTGGTGCTATCACAATCGCGTGTCTCATGGTTTGTGTTGCATAAAACTACCCTAATCTATGTTCCTGAAATAACAACACTTCCAAAGGGACCAATTTCCAATTGCAAAGTTAATTAATTTAAATAATATATATAACCATAACAGAAAAAAAGTAAAATTGTGGGCTTTTTCAGCGGACCAATTTCCACGGATACGCTGGTTTAGTTTAAAAGAATTTGAAAATGACCATTTTTCCCTTATATCTATTTGGCAGGTGGCTAACCTTGTGGGCTTTTTCATCGGACCATCGGGCATAAGTTGGCTAAAATCTGTATTTCTTCAGACAGAAGGTTTCTATTTCTAATTCTGTTTTCCCCAAATGTGTGGGTTATCTTCACATTTGTTGCCATATGGCATGATCTTGAATGGTATTTAATTTTGGTTGCAAGAGATGAGTTCAGAAGAAGATGAAGAAGAAACAAGGTTGTAACTATAGGTCAGGTACTATGGATAGTATTTAAGAAAATGATTAGAAACAAGGGTGAACAAGTAGAAAGCAAATCTTACACTTCAATGTCTATGGAGATCAAAGGTAGCAGGAAAGAATTAAGAATGTTGAAGCTGGTGAGTGGATTTTCAGTAAAAAATCTAAGTATTATATAATAACATTTTATCTAAGTGCTTTGACTTATAAAAATAAATAGTAATTAAAAAAATTAGAATATGTTGTCACAACTAAGGACAAACTCGAGAAGTGAGTTGAAGAGCTGACATGGAGATTAGACTTTGAAAAGCATTTGAGGGTATATTTTTTTTTTTATATTTCTTGTATCTATTTAGTTTGTAATTTTTTTTACAACTTCTATTGAGTTGTTTTATCTTTTTATGCAACGATTATCTGTATGAAATTAAATTTTAGTAAATCTATAAATAATATTTTTTTTAAACATTTAAAATTATGATACGCAAAAATGTGTGTCATCTTCATTTATGACATTGCCTTTCTTGACAGGTGCTTTATGATACGCAATTCGTGTCGTAAGGTTATAACACGCAAATGCGTGTCATCTTCCTTTATGATAGGGCCTTCCTTGATACGCAACATATGTCGTAAACGCACGTCGTAAATGTGTTTTGTAATTGCGCGTCGTAAATAGATGACAGGCAAAAGTGTGTCATCTCTTGTTATGACGGGGCCTTCGTTAACACGCATTTGCGCGTCGTCTGAGCGTTTTACGACACACATTGCACATCGTAAAAGGCTGTTTTTCTAGTAGTGACATCTTTTCGAGAACTGCTCCCAATTCATAGAAGCCCTCAGCTCAAAAGAATACGAGCTGGTAATGAGTCTCCATCAGTCCTTCAGCTCCGGACCACAAAAGGTTCAGAGTGCGCTTGACCCTCCGGTCATCCGGGGAAGAGTAAGTGAAGAAACATCCCTCAATGTCAGGAAGCCACCTTATGGATATGATCGGATCCTAAATTCCATCAAATGTCAGGGGCTTCATATTGTTTAATCCCGATAGCATCAACGACTGCGGTGGCTACATCATCAAGCGTATCGCTTATCAAATTACTCCATCATAATGGTCTTAATAGATCTAAACATCTCTGGCATCTATTCCCGAAAGAGGGAAACAACCTTCTCCTGAAGGATCTCCCTAACCTAATCCTTAGACAAAGCTGACCTATCCTGGCTACCATTCCCGATCATGATTCAGGCCCTGTCTAAAATCGTCTCAACATCACCATACTGAAAATAAAAAAGAGAAAGATCAAATAAAATGCACATCATACCAGGGAAGCAACTCCCATCGAAGCCCTAGGGGTTATGACTTCCCTGTTATGTGTACGGGTCCTGTGCTTTTAGTAATACGGGCCCATACTACCTGCCAAACCTACCCATATTTGTCTCAAGGATCACCACAACAAACCTAACAATACACAATAGAATACGCATATTGAAGGTTTTTGAGCATTCTAAAACTCCTAAGGTGTACATGCAACCCTAGAAACCTTGGATCTATGTTTTACTAAGATACATGCAAATTTGTTTTTCTAGGGTTCTTAACTTAACTAGCATGACATGGGGAACTTTAAAACATAAATACTAGTAGAAAGACATACCTTTTAGTTTCTTGAATTCCTTGAGAACCTAGTGAGCCTAGCACCTCAAGTGTGATGCCACAAATGTCTCACACAACACCACAACACTTAGAATAACTTTGACAGAAGTTCACTAACTCACAAAATTCGACCAGCCCTCTTTTCTTGTATGTATTCCGATTTTGGTCATCCATGGGGTCTTTATATAGTTGTGTCACAAGTAGGGTTACACCATGTAAACCTTAATTTTCATGGATTTCTATATACCATAATCCACGGGTTTGTAACCTCCATGGACTGTTCATGGAGCACCTTATGGGTTTTAGCCCAATCCACACAAACCATGGATCATTAGCTCACTATACAAGAATAGATGGTTTACACAATTAACCCCATATATTTAAGTAGTATATTTTTGATTACTTAATTAATTCCAAATTAATTCTTTAATCAATACTAATTAAATAATATTATTAATAAATTAGAACTTATAATATATTAATAAACCTTAAGTGTCCTTTCTCTTATTTAGTCTATCTAAGTGTTGCAATGCCATGCAACCCAAATGGACCATGCTAACCGGGTCAAGTACATTCCAGGAATAGTTATGAACTTAGACACCTAATCCAACAGTCTCCCACTTGGATAAGTCTAATAACTATAACTGCAAGAATGACTTTAGGAACTGATCAACAACCGTAGCTCTTTCAACGTCTTGCGAAACTGAGATGATGATGATACGCCTATTCAGATAAGTGATCATATAATCCTATTTTCTAGATATCAGCTGGACAAATGCATGGAACAATCTCTTAATTATTGTCCAACATTTTGTTTCCCGATTTCCGATTTGTTTGACATAGAACTTAATCGAACACATCTATTTAGTTCTGACCGGGCCCGATACATAAGTCAAAACAAAAACATCGAGGGACCTAAACATCACTTCTAATCTAAGAAGGAACAGATAAACTTTGACTCATATGGTTGTTCTACTAATTGTTGAATCATACATAAAGGCACGTTTTATAACATCAACTTACCAATGCGTTTTCGTACAATCAATGTATAACCATCTCATAGTCAACAACTCATATCTCCAGGTTTGAAGACTTATATGATACAAGTGAGCGTGGGTTGATTCCAATACTCAGAACTTATGAGCACTCATGAGTGTTGTAGCAACTCTTCCCATGTCCAAAACTTAGACATCTACTATGACATCCCCATTTTAACGGCTAGAAAAGACTGCTTTTGTTTATGCTTTACAAAAATCAGAGTACCTCTTTCAATAAAAATGTTAAGGAATTTGATCCAAGTAAAACATGAT